CTAACCGGAGAGAAATTACAGTGCTTGCCTCGACGGGGAGGGATTGCATTGAATTAAAGCAGCGGGAGCAAACGCTTGCCTCGGGGAGGGAGAAAAAAAGCCACAGCGGAGAATAAACAGAAGGGTAACCATGGTAACTATGGGCGGGAAGTCTTCTTCGCTGCTTTTGTGGCAGACTACAGCGCCACTTACAGGCCTGGCATATGTACTACATCGTCTCCAGCGCTTTTGAGCGGCAATGGCTGGCCGTGGCCCAACCCCACATTCCCCTGATAGGTGGAGAGTTGGCCCAATAGCCGTAGCGCCACCGTCCTGACGTCAGTAACGTGTTCAAATCTGGATCAGTTTTTATCAGATCCGTTGCAGCCCCTTTTTTAGAGATTTGGGTATGGAGGAAAATAGAGAGGGTTGTGTTTTCTGACACTTGGTGAGTTCCCTGGAACACCGGGGACACATATTCATGTATAAAAGACGTACAAAAGTGCATTTTGCATGATAGGTCCCCTTTAAGTTGAAAGCAATTTCTGTAGCCAAAAAAAAACACAAATTGTAGGTGCGCAGTGGTTATCAATTTATTGGACAACTGCAACCGTTTGTATAGGTCCACATATCGTGTACATTAAAAGTAGGATTAAAAAAATTCCCCCATTTCAATCAACGATTTAATGCAACACTGCCTTTAAATCTGAATAAAACATCTAATAATCATATAACCCTTCTATATACTGTAGTTCTTAGCGTGAAATATATATATATATATATATATATATATATATATATACAATCTTGTAGTTTTAAGATAATTATTCCAAATCAACACATGTTCAACCGAACAGCAATTCATTATGATATATTTATATTGCATTTAGCTTCATTGCTTATATCTTAACGTAACTGTTGGAAATAATAAGATAACTTACTCTGCCCAAAGACTTTAGTGACACAAAGAGATCTCAGAAAAAAAGATGCAGAGATATTGGAAAATTATACAGACAGATTGAATGTGTTTTCAAAGGTAGATGGAAACTATACTACTCAGGACTGAAAGAAAAGAAAATACACCCAGGACTGCCGCTTGATTTTGGTAAAAAAAATGGGCCATGGCCTTTTCACTGTTGCCCTGTGTCTTTAAATGACACAGTGCAATTACAGCATTCTTAATTAGTATTGTTCAATAATAATTTAATCACACCTATACTGTAGTTTAGTTATAATCTGAATTGTGTGGGATTGTGGACTTTGCTGATACCATCTCGAATCGAAGTGAATGGCTGAATGAACTTGTGTATCCGACTACTACCTGGCCTCCCTTGTGGACCTGAAATGACAAATATACAGTCTGGCTAATCTACAGAGGATAGCACTTGCTATTACACTGCACAGCCCCACAGGGAAGCTCGAGGAGAACATAATGGATCATTTGCTGATCTGGACATATTCTCTCTCTCCCTCTCTCATGCTGTGGATGTGTGTGTGTGTGTGTGTGTGTGTGTGTGTGTGTGTGTGTGTGTGTGTGTGTGTGTTGTGTGTGTGTGTGTGTGTGTGTGTGTGTGTGTGTGTGTGTGTATGTGTGTGTGGTGTGTGTGTGTGTGTGTGTGTGTTGTGTGTGTGTATGTGTGTGTGTACATTTGGTAAGGAAGTGAGTATACATGTGCAGCAGAGGGAAGAGAGAGAAAGAGAATAAATGGCTGTAATAAATGAAGATGAACATTCTAGGGCCTCTGCTCTCTTCCCGTGTTTTTCACAATTTTTTCTCTCCCCCACTGCCAAATAAGTATTGATTCACATGCATATTTATAATCTACACTTACCCAGGGGGTCTCCAGTGTTTTCAGAGGTGATAGGCCTGCTCCGTGGAGCAGAATCAACAATATCGAACACACACAGAATCTCCAATCCCTCCTCTAAGCTCTGATGATGCAAAGCATTCATTTCCAACTCTAGTTTGTTCGAGCATTGTGTACCTTGGGTATAGTGATTGGTGTAGGGTTTTATGTTGCGGTCAAACATTATTTATTCTGTTTTCTCCTTTTTGTTTGATTCTCTAAATCAAACTTAATATGGATTTCTGTAGTCCATTGTTCTGCAGTTTGTGCATTGTATACATTAGCATAACATTCATTGAGTTATCTAATGTTATTGCCTCTTACACTCTCTATTTCTGTTTTCTCTGCATGACATTGAATAAGATAATATATCTTCAAACTTGAATTACTTAAGTCTTCAAGCTTGGCTATGGCACTTTGATGGGACAGCATCCCCCAAAGACTCCCAACATGATAAATTATCCACTAATTATGTGAGTAATTGTAATTTTACTCGATTATGTTCTACTTTTCTACCCTACCGTAACACTTATTCCATTCATTTCTCTTCCACCTGACATTGAGATCAACTATGACTTCATTGTTCATTCCCTATCAATAGACTCTTTGAGCATAGAGCTCTCACAGGGGAGGCACAGGATAAAAACAAGAGACAGGTCTCCTAAGTGGCTCTTCATCTGCCTGCTGTCAGGCTTGACCTTGCTCTGATGGCTTAATGGACGTGCGTGTGGTGTGTGTTTCCTTTGTGTATTTTGTGTGTAAAGACAATGTTTGGGTACTTATCTGTGCTAACGTATGTTTTTAACTTTATTTGCCCATGGATTATGTAAGCAAACACATATATGTGTTCTCGCACAATATGTCTGACAAGCAAGTATTAAGTCTTAGCCCTTCAGAAAGCTTTTTCCTTGCCTAACCATGTCTGTCATCAGCATGAAATATAAAGAATAACATATACATTTCAAAATCTAATACACATATACACACTGTCATGCATCGCTGACAGACCCAAGATGTATGTACAGTAGGTGGTGTCCAGTCTTCCATAGAGTGATTAAATGCTAGGTGGAGCACAAAGCACTCGTAGTTAGAGCGAAGATTTCCCCTGATGCCTCATCCCCTCACTCAGTGAATCAAAAAGAGAAACAAGTGACAAAAGGTTTCATAAACCAAATGCTGAGTTACATGTAGTGAGAAACATAGAACATAGAAAGGCTGTGAGAGGACACATGGCCAGTTACCATCCTTGTTCTATGACAAAGCATATGAAATAAAACTCAGTTGAAAAGGTTCAAGCAGGTTCTTTCATATTTTTCTTTTGCTCAAATATAAAAAAAATGAATGCCTAAAAAAGCAAGAACTGAAATCATTTTGGAACATGAGTCAAAGTCATTATTGTCCTTCTGCACCCTGTGTCCAAATGATTACAATTGTTTCGCAGAAAGTAGAATATTCAGCTTTAAAATAAATGATTGTTTTAATCTTATGTAATTTCACATACAAACCATGTTATGTTTGGTCAGGTTCAAGGTACATATCTCAAAACCCTATTGCTCGACTGCAAAGGTGATGAAGGACGGGACTGGCTCTGGGAAGGAGAAGTAATAACAACCAAATAAGAATTGGCAGCAGAGGGCACAAGAGCCGGTCTAACTGGTAACTAAGGATGTCTGATATTACTTAATGGATTTGTAATGACTTAATGTCCTTCCAAGGCTTTGTGCATGCAAGCTGCAATGATGGTGACTTCTGAGAGGCTGTAGAAGTGACCGTGATCAGACCGTTTGCTGCTTTAGTTGTTTTTTTTTAGAGTGGTGACAGCGATTTCATTCCGGGGCACCACGAAGAAATAGTGAGCTCATCTGAGATTCACCATCTTCCAAAAACATTGTTGGCACACTATTGCATTCACTTTTGTTCTGCAAACCGACCTGTCTTCTAATTTTTTCAAGAAGCAGAGGTTGCATGGATGTGGGGGTGTCAGCGCATCTCTTTTACCCCCTGTTGACTGGATGATTTATCTAGCCCTAATGAAACGTTGATGTATGCTGGAAAAGGTACTTGTTATATCCAAGAAAGACACCTCTACAGGCAACACAAAATTGCGTGTGTGTAACGGGGGTGGGGCTGGGGGTGGGTTATTACCGACCCCCCTCTGACAGCGGCCCCGGTGATGGAACGTCCATGTTGGAAGTATTGCTGCCGGTGAAACTGACGGATAATATGTTATATCTTGTGGTAGAAATATCTAGAGAATAGGTCTGACATATGGATGTGTTGCAGTAATAGAGAGGTAAAACTAGGCACTGAGAAGTAGAGACAGATAAAACAATGGGAGTTGTCGATAGAGTAAATAAAAAAGGACAAGAAAGATTGGAATCTAGAGGAAAAACTAGAAAAAAACTCAAAAGTGTGCGATAAAAATTATTGTCCCTTTAGAAATCATTGTGGGTTTATTTTGTTTGGTCAGTTTTGAGCTGTGGGTCTGTAGCAGGTTATTGGACTGAAAAGCACATTCTATCTTGGAAAAAAAGAGGAAAGTATGCCTGTGGCTTGCCCTATTACATTGTGTTGATAAAAGCTCTGTGTGTTTGTTTTTATGTTGGTGGTAATGACTTGCTTCACACAAGCAAAGCCTTTATTAAAGAGGTTTACTTTTTCACTACCCATTTACCAATTACACACACTGAAGGATGGGCAAGGGAGTGGCAGCATCTGAAATGACAGCAGAGTTAAAACACTAGAACAAGAGAACAGAATAAGAACGATTAAAGAATAAACATGACAGCATGACAGGCAACCATGACACACACAGTCAGAAGAAAGGTCTAATGAGCCAGGATTAACGAAAAACACAGTGTGTCTTTGAAATGTAACATCATTTATTGACAATAACAGCAAAGTACTTTCAATGTTTTAATGATTTATCACAAAAAGGAAGGAGAAGAATATGTAGAGTCCGTCTTGCAATTGGATCCCTTGAGTCAGAATGCCAATACAAGGTTGTAACGCTTTAACCGTAAACAATTCTGTACCCCACATTTCTTTTGACAGAATACAATTTTTGTATGTATTTGCTTTTAAGTCTATTGATTGATACCCATTTAAAAAGAGAGAATTTGGACAAACAAGTGACTTGTGTCCTTTTTTTGGAGAAAGAAAAACCGTGGTGAATGGAGTTCAAAAGAAACGTTTATTTTTTTGTTTTGCAATTGGAGTACACAGTGAATCAAACCTATGACACAAGCCAATGAAAAAATAGAAACCACACAATACCAGATTCTTAGACCAGGTAGACTTTAGAGCTTTCTTAAGGGCTTTTCTCTTGGAAACAAACATGACCACAAGCTGAAACCATCACCATTTACACAATATGTATGGAGCTTAACATGTTAAATATAACGAACACCATCACCAGTAACCACCATTTAATTATCAGTCACCCAGGGGTTACATTTCACTTACATTTTATTTTAAAGATTGCACATTCTAATTGTTGAGTTAAGGGGAACACATTTGTTTTTTTCTTAGTTTGTTTTTAAAACATTGTATAGATTACAATTAAAAACCACTATGTCCATTAGTCACGGTGTTTTTCCGTACCTTCATCTAGGCTAGTCTATATCTAGATAAATCCTTTGCCTAACAGATACACAATTATTTTTTTGTGAATAACTTTAGTATGTGAGTGTGTGTGATGTTTATCATTAAGGTCACCTAAAATTAGATAAACAATATTAATATTAATTTAGCATACCTTTAAATGTTGTAGTGAAGGAAAATAAGCAGAAATATGTTTGATTAGCTTTAAAATTAAGTGGACATGAGCATGAAGAAATATTTCAGATTCAGTCGCAAGCATATTCAATGGGATCATCTGCATCTGATTCTGTCCCGGTGACTTCCACCTCACACAGTGTCAGGTATTTTTTTCCTCCAGGAATCACAATGTTTACATACTGGCCTTCCATTCCATTGCAAACAAATGTTGTTGAGGCTCCCAGCTGCGATAGATGAGATAACAGCACATCTGGTGAAAGAACAGGAAAATGTCAGTAAATTATGTAGATAATCAATTCCAATCTTTCCCTGTAACTTTCAGAGGTAAGGTAACGTTTGTAAATCTAATATAAGGCAGATAGTGCTGTTACCTGGGATTGGCGTTGCCATTGTCATTGAGGGAATTTCCAACGTGGATCTCAGCACCATTGATCCTTTCATGGCAACAGTCTTTTCTGTTGGTGATGGTGACAGTGTTGATTTTATATATCTTTAGGAGGTCCAGTCTCCACCAGGGTTTGGTTTGTAGTGATGTGTGTGTACAGGATCCCTTTCCATATATGCTTGCATCATTTCCATCAATGGCTCTTTCGGGGACACCTTTCCACCCCACGGAGGACTGAGTCACTTTTCCACCTTTAGCAATATTAGCTGGACAAAGTAACAACATTTGTTATGAAACATAGTTTGAGTTAATCACAGAAGTTGTACCTGTTTTCATCTGAACAGAGATGAAAATGAACAGGCAGTTGCCATGTTTGATTTAACTTTTCATGTGACTATTTGCTTTCCATTGGATCCTTTATATAGTACAATTTACCAGCTGGAGCAGTGTTTCCAGAAGGTTGACCAGTGACTTCCACCTCACACAGTGTCAGGTATCTTTTTCCTCCAGGAATCACAATGTTTACATACTGGCCTTCCATTCCATTGCAAACAAATGTTGTTGAGCTCCCAGCTGCGATAGATGAGATAACAGCACATCTGGTGAAAGAAACAGGAAAATGTCAGTAAATTATGTAGATAATCAATTCAATCTTTCCCTGTAACTTTCAGAGGTAAGGTAACGTTTGTAAATCTAATATAAGGCAAATAGTGCTGTTACCTGGGATTGGCAGTTGCCATTGTCATTGAGGGAATTTCCAACGTGGATCTCAGCACCATTTATCCTTTCATGGCAACAGTCTTTTCTGTTGGTGATGGTGACAGTGTTGATTTTATATATCTTTAGGAGGTCCAGTCTCCACCAGGGTTTGGTTTGTAGTGATGTGTGTGTACAGGATCCCTTTCCATATATGCTAGCATCATTTCCATCAATGGCTCTTTCGGGGACACCTTTCCACCCCACGGAGGACTGAGTCACTTTTCCACCTTTAGCAATATTAGCTGGACAAAGTAACAACATTTGTTATGAAACATAGTTTGAGTTAATCACAGAAGTTGTACCTGTTTTCATCTGAACAGAGATGAAAATGAACAGGCAGTTGCCATGTTTGATTTAACTTTTCATGTGACTATTTGCTTTCTATTGGATCCTTTATATAGTACAATTTACCAGCTGGAGCAGTGGTTTCCAGAAGGTTGACCAGTGACTTCCACCTCACAACAGTGTCAGGTATTTTTTTCCTCCAGGAATCACAATGTTTACATACTGGCCTTCCATTCCATTGCAAACAAATGTTGTTGAGCTCCCAGCTGCGATAGATGAGATAACAGCACATCTGGTGAAAGAAACAGGAAAATGTCAGTAAATTATGTAGATAATCAATTCAATCTTTCCCTGTAACTTTCAGAGGTAAGGTAACGTTTGTAAATCTAATATAAGGCAGATAGTGCTGTTACCTGGGATTGGCGTTGCCATTGTCATTGAGGGAATTTCCAACGTGGATCTCAGCACCATTTATCCTTTCATGGCAACAGTCTTTTCTGTTGGTGATGGTGACAGTGTTGATTGTATATCTCTTTTGGAGGTCCAGTCTCCACCAGGGTTTGGTTTGTAGTGATGTGTGTGTACAGGATCCCTTTCCATATATGCTAGCATCATTTCCATCAATGGCTCTTTCGGGGACACCTTTCCACCCCACGGAGGACTGAGTCACTTTTCCACCTTTAGCAATATTAGTAGCTGGACAAAGTAACAACATGTGTTATGAAACATAGTTTGAGTTAATCACAGAAGTTGTACCTGTTTCATCTGAACAGAGATGAAATGAACAGGCAGTTGCCATGTTTGATTTACTTTTCATGTGACTATTTGCTTTCCTATTGGATCCTTTATATAGTACAATTTACCAGTTGGAGCAGTGGTTCCAGAAGGTTGACCAGTGACTTCCACCTCACACAGTGTCAGGTATTTTTTTCCTCCAGGAATCACAATGTTTACATACTGGCCTTCCATTCCATTGCAAACAAATGTTGTTGAGCTCCCAGCTGTGATAGATGAGATAACAGCACATCTGGTGAAAGAAACAGGAAAATGTCAGTAAATTATGTAGATAATCAATTCAATCTTTCCCTGTAACTTTCAGAGGTAAGGTAACGTTTGTAAATCTAAAATAAGGCAGATAGTGCTGTTACCTGGGATTGGCATTGCCATTGTCATTGAGGGAATTTCCAACGTGGATCTCAGCACCATTTATCCTTTCATGGCAACAGTCTTTTCTGTTGGTGATGGTGACAGTGTTGATTTTATATATCTTTAGGAGGTCCAGTCTCCACCAGGGTTTGGTTTGTAGTGATGTGTGTGTACAGGATCCCTTTCCATATATGCTAGCATCATTTCCATCAATGGCTCTTTCGGGGACACCTTTCCACCCCACGGAGGACTGAGTCACTTTTCCACCTTTAGCAATATTAGCTGGACAAAGTAACAACATGTGTTATGAAACATAGTTTGAGTTAATCACAGAAGTTGTACCTGTTTTCATCTGAACAGAGATGAAAATGAACAGGCAGTTGCCATGTTTGATTTAACTTTTCATGTGACTATTTGCTTTCTATTGGATCCTTTATATAGTACAATTTACCAGTTGGAGCAGTGGTTCCAGAAGGTTGACCAGTGACTTCCACCTCACACAGTGTCAGGTATTTTTTTCCTCCAGGAATCACAATGTTTACATACTGGCCTTCCATTCCATTGCAAACAAATGTTGTTGAGCTCCCAGCTGCGATAGATGAGATAACAGCACATCTGGTGAAAGAAACAGGAAAATGTCAGTAAATTATGTAGATAATCAATTCAATCTTTCCCTGTAACTTTCAGAGGTAAGGTAACGTTTGTAAATCTAATATAAGGCAGATAGTGCTGTTACCTGGGATTGGCGTTGCCATTGTCATTGAGGGAATTTCCAACGTGGATCTCAGCACCATTTATCCTTTCATGGCAACAGTCTTTTCTGTTGGTGATGGTGACAGTGTTGATTTTATATATCTTTAGGAGGTCCAGTCTCCACCAGGGTTTGGTTTGTAGTGATGTGTGTGTACAGGATCCCTTTCCATATATGCTAGCATCATTTCCATCAATGGCTCTTTCGGGGACACCTTTCCACCCCACGGAGGACTGAGTCACTTTTCCACCTTTAGCAATATTAGCTGGACAAAGTAACAACATGTGTTATGAAACATAGTTTGAGTTAATCACAGAAGTTGTACCTGTTTTCATCTGAACAGAGATGAAAATGAACAGGCAGTTGCCATGTTTGATTTAACTTTTCATGTGACTATTTGCTTTCCATTGGATCCTTTATATAGTACAATTTACCAGCTGGAGCAGTGTTTCCAGAAGGTTGACCAGTGACTTCCACCTCACACAGTGTCAGGTATTTTTTTCCTCCAGGAATCACAATGTTTACATACTGGCCTTCCATTCCATTGCAAACAAATGTTGTTGAGCTCCCAGCTGCGATAGATGAGATAACAGCACATCTGGTGAAAGAAACAGGAAAATGTCAGTAAATTATGTAGATAATCAATTCAATCTTTCCCTGTAACTTTCAGAGGTAAGGTAACGTTTGTAAATCTAATATAAGGCAGATAGTGCTGTTACCTGGGATTGGCGTTGCCATTGTCATTGAGGGAATTTCCAACGTGGATCTCAGCAACCATTTATCCTTTCATGGCAACAGTCTTTTCTGTTGGTGATGGTGACAGTGTTGATTTTATATATCTTTAGGAGGTCCAGTCTCCACCAGGGTTTGGTTTGTAGTGATGTGTGTGTACAGGATCCCTTTCCATATATGCTAGCATCATTTCCATCAATGGCTCTTTCGGGACACCTTTCCACCCCACGGAGGACTGAGTCACTTTTCCACCTTTAGCAATATTAGCTGGACAAAGTAACAACATTTGTTATGAAACATAGTTTGAGTTAATCACAGAAGTTGTACCTGTTTTCATCTGAACAGAGATGAAAATGAACAGGCAGTTGCCATGTTTGATTTAACTTTTCATGTGACTATTTGCTTTCTATTGGATCCTTTATATAGTACAATTTACCAGCTGGAGCGGTGTTTCCAGAAGGTTGACCAGTGACTTCCACCTCACACAGTGTCAGGTATTTTTTTCCTCCAGGAATCACAATGTTTACATACTGGCCTTCCATTCCATTGCAAACAAATGTTGTTGAGCTCCCAGCTGCGATAGATGAGATAACAGCACATCTGGTGAAAGAAACAGGAAAATGTCAGTAAATTATGTAGATAATCAATTCAATCTTTCCCTGTAACTTTCAGAGGTAAGGTAACGTTTGTAAATCTAATATAAGGCAGATAGTGCTGTTACCTGGGATTGGCTGTTGCCATTGTCATTGAGGGAATTTCCAACGTGGATCTCAGCACCATTTATCCTTTCATGGCAACAGTCTTTTCTGTTGGTGATGGTGACAGTGTTGATTTTATATATCTTTAGGAGGTCCAGTCTCCACCAGGGTTTGGTTTGTAGTGATGTGTGTGTACAGGATCCCTTTCCATATATGCTAGCATCATTTCCATCAATGGCTCTTTCGGGGACACCTTTCCACCCCACGGAGGACTGAGTCACTTTTCCACCTTTAGCAATATTAGCTGGACAAAGTAACAACATTTGTTATGAAACATAGTTTGAGTTAATCACAGAAGTTGTACCTGTTTTCATCTGAACAGAGATGAAAATGAACAGGCAGTTGCCATGTTTGATTTAACTTTTCATGTGACTATTTGCTTTCCATTGGATCCTTTATATAGTACAATTTACCAGCTGGAGCAGTGTTTTCCAGAAGGTTGACCAGTGACTTCCACCTCACACAGTGTCAGGTATTTTTTTCCTCCAGGAATCACAATGTTTACATACTGGCCTTCCATTCCATTGCAAACAAATGTTGTTGAGCTCCCAGCTGCGATAGATGAGATAACAGCACATCTGGTGAAAGAAACAGGAAAATGTCAGTAAATTATGTAGATAATCAATTCAATCTTTCCCTGTAACTTTCAGAGGTAAGGTAACGTTTGTAAATCTAATATAAGGCAAATAGTGCTGTTACCTGGGATTGGCGTTGCCATTGTCATTGAGGGAATTTCCAACGTGGATCTCAGCACCATTTATCCTTTCATGGCAACAGTCTTTTCTGTTGGTGATGGTGACAGTGTTGATTTTATATATCTTTAGGAGGTCCAGTCTCCACCAGGGTTTGGTTTGTAGTGATGTGTGTGTACAGGATCCCTTTCCATATATGCTAGCATCATTTCCATCAATGGCTCTTTCGGGGACACCTTTCCACCCCACGGAGGACTGAGTCACTTTTCCACCTTTAGCAATATTAGCTGGACAAAGTAACAACATTTGTTATGAAACATAGTTTGAGTTAATCACAGAAGTTGTACCTGTTTTCATCTGAACAGAGATGAAAATGAACAGGCAGTTGCCATGTTTGATTTAACTTTTCATGTGACTATTTGCTTTCTATTGGATCCTTTATATAGTACAATTTACCAGCTGGAGCAGTGTTTCCAGAAGGTTGACCAGTGACTTCCACCTCACACAGTGTCAGGTATTTTTTTCCTCCAGGAATCACAATGTTTACATACTGGCCTTCCATTCCATTGCAAACAAATGTTGTTGAGCTCCCAGCTGCGATAGATGAGATAACAGCACATCTGGTGAAAGAAACAGGAAAATGTCAGTAAATTATGTAGATAATCAATTCAATCTTTCCCTGTAACTTTCAGAGGTAAGGTAACGTTTGTAAATCTAATATAAGGCAAATAGTGCTGTTACCTGGGATTGGCGTTGCCATTGTCATTGAGGGAATTTCCAACGTGGATCTCAGCACCATTTATCCTTTCATGGCAACAGTCTTTTCCTGTTGGTGATGGTGACAGTGTTGATTTTATATATCTTTAGGAGGTCCAGTCTCCACCAGGGTTTGGTTTGTAGTGATGTGTGTGTACAGGATCCCTTTCCATATATGCTAGCATCATTTCCATCAATGGCTCTTTCGGGGACACCTTTCCACCCCACGGAGGACTGAGTCACTTTTCCACCTTTAGCAATATTAGCTGGACAAAGTAACAACATTTGGTTATGAAACATAGTTTGAGTTAATCACAGAAGTTGTACCTGTTTTCATCTGAACAGAGATGAAAATGAACAGGCAGTTGCCATGTTTGATTTAACTTTTCATGTGACTATTTGCTTTCCATTGGATCCTTTATATAGTACAATTTACCAGCTGGAGCAGTGTTTCCAGAAGGTTGACCAGTGACTTCCACCTCACACAGTGTCAGGTATTTTTTTCCTCCAGGAATCACAATGTTTACATACTGGCCTTCCATTCCATTGCAAACAAATGTTGTTGAGCTCCCAGCTGCGATAGATGAGATAACAGCACATCTGGTTGAAAGAAACAGGAAAATGTCAGTAAATTATGTAGATAATCAATTCAATCTTTCCCTGTAACTTTCAGAGGTAAGGTAACGTTTGTAAATCTAATATAAGGCAAATAGTGCTGTTACCTGGGATTGGCGTTGCCATTGTCATTGAGGGAATTTCCAACGTGGATCTCAGCACCATTTATCCTTTCATGGCAACAGTCTTTTCTGTTGGTGATGGTGACAGTGTTGATTTTATATATCTTTAGGAGGTCCAGTCTCCACCAGGGTTTGGTTTGTAGTGATGTGTGTGTACAGGATCCCTTTCCATATATGCTAGCATCATTTCCATCAATGGCTCTTTCGGGGACACCTTTCCACCCCACGGAGGACTGAGTCACTTTTCCACCTTTAGCAATATTAGCTGGACAAAGTAACAACATTTGTTATGAAACATAGTTTGAGTTAATCACAGAAGTTGTACCTGTTTTCATCTGAACAGAGATGAAAATGAACAGGCAGTTGCCATGTTTGATTTAACTTTTCATGTGACTATTTGCTTTCCATTGGATCCTTTATATAGTACAATTTACCAGCTGGAGCAGTGTTTCCAGAAGGTTGACCAGTGACTTCCACCTCACACAGTGTCAGGTATTTTTTTCCTCCAGGAATCACAATGTTTACATACTGGCCTTCCATTCCATTGCAAACAAATGTTGTTGAGCTCCCAGCTGCGATAGATGAGATAACAGCACATCTGGTGAAAGAAACAGGAAAATGTCAGTAAATTATGTAGATAATCAATTCAATCTTTCCCTGTAACTTTCAGAGGTAAGGTAACGTTTGTAAATCTAATATAAGGCAAATAGTGCTGTTACCTGGGATTGGCGTTGCCATTGTCATTGAGGGAATTTCCAACGTGGATCTCAGCACCATTTATCCTTTCATGGCAACAGTCTTTTCTGTTGGTGATGGTGACAGTGTTGATTTTATATATCTTTAGGAGGTCCAGTCTCCACCAGGGTTTGGTTTGTAGTGATGTGTGTGTACAGGATCCCTTTCCATATATGCTAGCATCATTTCCATCAATGGCTCTTTCGGGGACACCTTTCCACCCCACGGAGGACTGAGTCACTTTTCCACCTTTAGCAATATTAGCTGGACAAAGTAACAACATTTGTTATGAAACATAGTTTGAGTTAATCACAGAAGTTGTACCTGTTTTCATCTGAACAGAGATGAAAATGAACAGGCAGTTGCCATGTTTGATTTAACTTTTCATGTGACTATTTGCTTTCCATTGGATCCTTTATATAGTACAATTTACCAGCTGGAGCAGTGTTTCCAGAAGGTTGACCAGTGACTTCCACCTCACACAGTGTCAGGTATTTTTTTCCTCCAGGAATCACAATGTTTACATACTGGCCTTCCATTCCATTGCAAACAAATGTTGTTGAGCTCCCAGCTGCGATAGATGAGATAACAGCACATCTGGTGAAAGAAACAGGAAAATGTCAGTAAATTATGTAGATAATCAATTCAATCTTTCCCTGTAACTTTCAGAGGTAAGGTAACGTTTGTAAATCTAATATAAGGCAAATAGTGCTGTTACCTGGGATTGGCGTTGCCATTGTCATTGAGGGAATTTCCAACGTGGATCTCAGCACCATTTATCCTTCATGGCAACAGTCTTTTCTGTTGGTGATGGTGACAGTGTTGATTTTATATATCTTTAGGAGGTCCAGTCTCCACCAGGGTTTGGTTTGTAGTGATGTGTGTGTACAGGATCCCTTTCCATATATGCTAGCATCATTTCCATCAATGGCTCTTTCGGGGACACCTTTCCACCCCACGGAGGACTGAGTCACTTTTCCACCTTTAGCAATATTAGCTGGACAAAGTAACAACATTTGTTATGAAACATAGTTTGAGTTAATCACAGAAGTTGTACCTGTTTTCATCTGAACAGAGATGAAAATGAACAGGCAGTTGCCATGTTTGATTTAACTTTTCATGTGACTATTTGCTTTCTATTGGATCCTTTATATAGTACAATTTTACCAGCTGGAGCAGTGTTTCCAGAAGGTTGACCAGTGACTTCCACCTCACACAGTGTCAGGTATTTTTTTTCCTCCAGGAATCACAATGTTTACATACTGGCCTTCCATTCCATTGCAAACAAATGTTGTTGAGCTCCCAGCTGCGATAGATGAGATAACAGCACATCTGGTGAAAGAAACAGGAAAATGTCAGTAAATTATGTAGATAATCAATTCAATCTTTCCCTGTAACTTTCAGAGGTAAGGTAACGTTTGTAAATCTAAATAAGGCAGATAGTGCTGTTACCTGGGATTGGCATTGCCATTGTCATTGAGGGAATTTCCAACGTGGATCTCAGCACCATTTATCCTTTCATGGCAACAGTCTTTTCTGTTGGTGATGGTGACAGTGTTGATTTTATATATCTTTAGGAGGTCCAGTCTCCACCAGGGTTTGGTTTGTAGTGATGTGTGTGTACAGGATCCCTTTCCATATATGCTAGCATCATTTCCATCAATGGCTCTTTCGGGGACACCTTTCCACCCCACGGAGGACTGAGTCACTTTTCCACCTTTAGCAATATTAGCTGGACAAAGTAACAACATGTGTTATGAAACATAGTTTGAGTTAATCACAGAAGTTGTACCTGTTTTCATCTGAACAGAGATGAAAATGAACAGGCAGTTGCCATGTTTGATTTAACTTTTCATGTGACTATTTGCTTTCTATTGGATCCTTTATATAGTACAATTTACCAGTTGGAGCAGTGGTTCCAGAAGGTTGACCAGTGACTTCCACCTCACACAGTGTCAGGTATTTTTTTTCCTCCAGGAATCACAATGTTTACATACTGGCCTTCCATTCCATTGCAAACAAATGTTGTTGAGCTCCCAGCTGTGATAGATGAGATAACAGCACATCTGGTGAAAGAAACAGGAAAATGTCAGTAAATTATGTAGATAATCAATTCAATCTTTCCCTGTAACTTTCAGAGGTAAGGTAACGTTTGTAAATCTAATATAAGGCAGATAGTGCTGTTACCTGGGATTGGCGTTGCCATTGTCATTGAGGGAATTTCCAACGTGGATCTCAGCACCATTGATCCTTTCATGGCAACAGTCTTTTCTGTTGGTGATGGTGACAGTGTTGATTGTATATCTCTTTTGGAGGTCCAGTCTCCACCAGGGTTTGGTTTGTAGTGATGTGTGTGTACAGGATCCCTTTCCATATATGCTAGCATCATTTCCATCAATGGCTCTTTCGGGGACACCTTTCCACCCCACGGAGGACTGAGTCACTTTTCCACCTTTAGCAATATTAGCTGGACAAAGTAACAACATGTGTTATGAAACATAGTTTGAGTTAATCACAGAAGTTGTACCTGTTATATCTCTCACAGGCTCCGCCCTCTACTGGACTCTATGGGTACTACCTTATCATGCAAGCTTTCACCTACTGAGATTTCTATAGACGTAGCCGGCCCCGGGGCGGGCCTACCTGAATGCGTGCGCATCTCACTTCCGTATAAAAGGAGGCCTCGCCTCCTGACCACCATCCTTTACTCTTCAGCGAGCGGAGGTGGTAACCTAGCACTGATTCCGAGACGTACAAGTGGGAGAAAGGAAGTAGAGAAAGAGAGAGATATTGTGAAAATGGAGCCACTCCTGGAGCATCGTAGTTGCCCGTCGTGTCCTGGACTGATTGCGGGAGCAGACCCGCATCGTCAGTGTTTCCAGTGCCTGGGACAGGATCATGCTGAGCAGGGAGCGGGCCAGACACCGGCCTGTGCTTCCTGCTGTTCGATCCCGATGCTAAACCGCCGGCATCGTGCGGAGCACTTCTCGAGGAAGTTCGGCCCGCAGGTGCGCGGAGAGGAAGAGGATGTGGACCTCGAGGTGGTGGACATGGACGACCTGGAGGACGTGCCGTTTGAATTCGTCCTTCCGAGGGACCGAGTGGTCGACTTCGCGGAGGAGGATGACGACATCTCCTTGTCCGACACCCCCGGGTCCGACAGCCAGGAGGGCCCAGCACTCAGGTCTGCGCGACTGGACTTCCCAGCGGTGATGACCCAGGCAGCGGAGCGTGTAGGCTTACCGCTCCCCCCACCGCTGCCACTGAGGCCTGTAAGCCGCCTTAGGCAGGGGTTTTACGGCCCGGTGCTTCCGGCGCAGCCGGCTTTCATCTCGCCCCCGTTGCCAGACATCTGGCAGTGTGTGGAGGCGACATGGCGGCGTCCATTGAGGACGAAGGCCGCCATAGCATCCATGTCGGGCATTATCAGGGTGCAGGGCCGATCAGACACGGTATGTTCTGGCGTGCCCCCCCTCGACGAGAGCCTGGGGCCCATCTGTTGCCACGATCAGCTGGTTGGGCGGAGGGGAAGAAACCTCTGCCCCCGCTGCCGCGGGGACCGGGGAAGCCTTGGAATATTTGGATAAAATGTTCAGGCTCGGTTCACAGATGGCGGCTGCGGCTAATAATCTGGGTGTGTTGGGCGTCTCCTTGATTACTCCTCGAGCAGAACGCCCCCCGCTCTCCCGTCTCAGGACGGGGATGATTATCCAGACCGCTGCATAGGTCAGATGAATAATCTGATCCATGGAGTGGTCACCGCAGCCGGGCGGGTGATGTCCTTAGCCACAGTGGCGTCTCGTCATGTGTGGCTGGGACTCACCGCGCTGCCCAAAAAGGACCGAGCAGATCTCCTTGGAGCCCCCGTTTCCACGGAAGGGCTCTTTGGGTCTATAGCCTCGGTCACCCAGCGTTTCAGCCGTCTGGAGGAAGAGAGGCTGCAGCTTAGCCGCCATGTTGCCGCTAGCTTCTCCCCAGGCACAGCGTCCTCCGCGGGCGGCGGAGCGCAGTGCAACGGTGAGACGGAGGGAGAGACGCCGGTACGAAGGTCCCGTGCCGGTAGCACCCTCCGCTTCTTCAACCGACCCCGTGGGGCCAGCGTTACCGGCACTCACGGGGGCGGGCTGCCCGGCCACGGCAGTCTCAGCAGCAGCAGGAGAACCGCCGGGGTGGGGAGCTCCGCCAAAACGCAGCTGACTGGCGGAGGGAGGAAGCGTCTCAACGGGTCTCTCCACCCAGGACGCTAGGGTGAATCCCACCTCCTCCCTG